TATTTAAATTTGTCTTTTACACAATATTAAAATATATTTTGTCATTTTAATTTTTTGCAAATGTTACATTTTTAATTCAATATAATTTGCACTGGTTGAAAAAAATTATAAATGATTTAAAATTAAAGTTTCAAACTTGAAACTTTTGACTTTGTTGATCAAGAAGAATCAATTACTTCTAATAAATTCAATTTAATACATTTTAGATACAAACATTTTCATTTAATTATTAAAAAAAACACTTTTGTCTTGAAAATAAGCCATGACTGTTACTGCTTGATAAATATTGATTTTTAGAATTATATATTATACTTTATCAACAAGTTACTTTTTATCAGGAATGGGCTTTTTTTAAATTTAGCCCCCTTTGTACTTACTGTTCCTAACCAGTGAAGCTAAACACAAAGCTTTATTTCCTTCATAGTTTTAACTTTACAACTCTTGCTCGTGTTCCACCAGGTGATCCTGCTGGAGGAGGCATGGAGCGAGCTCTTCCTGCTCTGTGCCATCCAGTGGTCTTTGCCTCTGGACAGCTGCCCGCTGCTCTCTCTGCCAGACCTCTGCCCCGGCATGCAGGTAAAGACCAGCTACACCGGCCTGGACCTGCGCCTCCTGCAGGAGGTCTTCAGCCGCTTCAAGGCCCTCGCAGTCGATCCCACTGAGTTTGCCTGCCTCAAGGCCATCGTGCTCTTTAAGCCAGGTGAGGCCAACAGGATTCTGAAATGTTGGCACTATAAAGAATCCAGAAGTCATTCAGGCTTCTGTTTAATGTTGTAACAATCTCATTGCTGCCCTGCAATAAAACAGGCTGTTCTCATACACTGTGTGTAGCTTTACCAAAGACAAGTGTTGCACTCTAATTCATATGGAATCCATGTAATCAATTAGTACGTAATCGACTTAATCGTGAGCCAAGACAGGCGACATAGTATATGGAACGATAAAGTCTGTGTGAAAGGAGGAGGTCGAGGTTGACGGGACACCGGACTTTCACCCAGGAAACCGTTGTTCTTGTCCCGAGTCTTAACATAAACGTTGAATTATTTGTTACATAATTTCCGTACTTAAGTAACATCACTTCTGTAGTTATTTCAACCCAACTTACGATCTTTTCCTCAACCTAACCAATTAGTTTTGTTGACTAAACACCGCAATGATTCGTGTTGCTAGACATTCGTAGAAGAAGGCATGAACAATAACAAAATAACCTTTCGTAAGCTATCATACAAATCGTTGTATGAGGATACATTGAATGATACGATTTTAAACTGTTTAACTGTTTAACATTTTGCGATATAAATAATTCTGCTGTAAATTGGTGTACTTGTGTGTTGAGAGTGACACCAGCTCATATTACAGATGTTCTTTCAGTACCTTTTTCACAGTATTTCTCTGAATTTGTGTGACTCACGTTGGTGTTTGCTCTCCCTTACAGAGACTCGTGGTTTGAAAGATCCAGAACAAGGGGAGAACCTGCAGGATCAGTCTCAGGTGATGCTGGGACAACACATCCGCTCACACTACCCCAGTCAACCTGCCAGGTATGTTACTTGTCTGATAACATCACTGCCACAGCGCTGCATACTTGAAAAATGTCCACCTTTAAATACTTCTATTCTCTTAAATCTAATTCTAATTGTTGTCTTTTTTTACTTTTTACTTTGTTACTAAAGTTAATTTGTGATTGGAAATTAACTTTTAGGTGAATAATCTTCCTGTACTTCCACTATTAATTTCTCCCTTAAAGGTTGTTTAAAGGTTTTACTTTTTAATCTTAAAAGGACATATTCCAAAAAGATTTAATATAATTGTTTTCTATTCAGAATAAAAGGCAATTTAAAATGCAATTTACAAAGTCCCGTTCATTTTCTGTCTCAGTATTTGTCCGAGTAAATTGTCAGTTTAAAGACAAACTCCCTGAACTTTGGAACTCATAGTTTGTGATTTGGGGCCACTACAACAAAATCATGGAGCGTACCGTTTTTATTTATTTTCTCTCTTTCTCTTATTTCTATCATTTTGTAGTTAATTATGCAAATGTGCTCATAGCAGAATGAATAATACATTTTGAATACAAAATGGCAAAACCATTACTAGGGAAAAAACACAAAATAAGTATCTAATTATAAGGTTCCCAGCTATTCTCAAAACAACATTAAAACTGTTTTAAAATGTAATCTTTTAATGGAAAACTTTAAGACTTGAAAGACATGCATGTTGACTTGCACTTTGCTTATTGACACGCGTGTTTGAAGTGTATTAAATTATTATGATGAGCAATAAATCATGCATGCTTTTCTATTTCCTGTTGTATACAGGACTTGATTATATTTTTTGTTTCTTTTGTGTATTCAGGTTTGGAAAGCTGCTTCTTCTTCTTCCCTCTCTGCGTTTTGTGAATTCGGAGCGGATCGAGCTGCTGTTCTTCCACAGGACCATCGGAAACACTCCCATGGAGAAACTGTTGTGTGACATGTTCAAAAACTAAAAACCTGTGCAGTCATCGAAAACCTCCGTGTATGGAGGGATGATATTTGACAGATATTTGCTTTGTATTCCTGTATACATATCAGAGATTCTGCGTGCCGTTATTGTTCCTAAAGGCCACTTTATTATTTGTTTGTTGTTTCCACATCAGGTCATTCTGAAAATGCAATCCAATTCTTGTCATCATGCTTGCTGTCTATTTGTATCATATTTTAGAATTTGATTTGTGTCTGAAGTGAGTCACGTTCACATTTCATCTTTAGTGTTTCATTATTTTTGTGTTTTTTGTGAGATTTACAAAGCAGATCTTTATTTGTTTGGTGATAGATAAGACTGTATATCCCTGCTGTCAATAATGTGATTGTTATATTCATGTTTTCATGCCTTGATAAAGTAAAGAAAATGCTTGAAAATGTTTTTGATCTGTTTTTTAGTGTTGCACTTTACAAAAGATGATTTAGCCTAAAAACTTTTACTAATGAGGGGAAATAGTTCCTCGTGCATGACTTTAAAGATAGAGCTATATATAAAGAAAGGACAAAAATAATATGGGATATAATGTGTGTCAGCTCCAACACATTAAAACTGAGTTGACTGAGACCTGAACCTTCTGTGACACAGAGAAACAGCGCCCTCTTCTGTCTGGTGTATCACACAAAACCCTACACACACACACACACACACACACACCCTAAACATAATCTCAAAGTATAAACTATCAATGGGAGTTACAGTTTTTCTCAGCTGTGCAGATCAAATCTGCTCAGTTTGCAGAAGGCCAATTTAATCTCATGTATGTTCCAATTACTGTATAGAACAGACATGTTGAGCTTAAGGGCCTGTTAAAGATGGATGGATACAGTGAAAGAGAGTTGAATAAGAAACAGAACTCATGTTCTTTGTTTCCACAGACATGTTGTCATTTTAAAATTCATGAATAATTCAAGAAACAAAAAATGTCATAAGTTTAAGTATTAGACAAATTAAACTGTTACCAATGTTATTAGGATTTATCCTAGTCAGAGGTGGACTGACAGACAGACTGACTGAAGAGGCAAAAACAGTTAAGTTAAACAAAAGCATCACAAAGTAAAGGACTGTCTGTCTCTTGTCTTCTTAACTGAGCAGTAAGTTGTAAGTCTTCCACCTGTATAGTGACAGTAAATTGTTGAAATGCGATGTGGAAGCAGACAGTTGTGACGCAAGTGTTGATTTTCCTCCACTAAATGTCAGTCTGATAAGCGACGTCACTCAGTATTACTTTACCTTCTGATTCAAACACATGAAAAACATCAGAGGAGCAGAGCTGGATGCGTAGTGGACACATCAAACACTTGTTTTTAAGCCAGTGCTGCCTTTTTTATGTTGAAATAGCAGCAGTAAAGTACTGAGGGTCCTCTGTGAGGCCCTCATGTCAGAAAATCCTGATCAGCTGGCCCTCTGCGGCCTCTCTCATAAGAGCGAGCTCAAACATCCAGATTAAGAATCTTTCAACTCTCAAAAGGAGATTCGTCTGATTTCACAGGAGAAGATTTAACTGGATCACCGAGTCCATCTTTATGCCCCAGTTTGGTAAAGTTGAAGCTTTGTGATCTATGTTCTGCTGCTGTAACGCCACACTCTTACTATATTTCCTTTAGTCCTTATTTTCATAATCATGGCAATATAACGTGATCTTAAACTGAGGCCTTACTCCACGTGTCAAATGATCCACATTCTCATCTTGGCCTTTCCTAAGCTCTTTTCACACAAAGGTTGTCCCTGTTTAAAATGAGAGATTTTCATCTTATTATAAGATTAGTCTCTTAAGTAACAGGCAGAGGGAGGCAAACAGGTTATGGGTCACACAAAGTGCTTTCATTTTCTACATGAATACAACAAACATGAGACATTCAACTGTATCAGACAACATCATTGATTGCATGAAGAAAATCAATGGTATATATAAACAAGTAACTGTCACCAAACTTAAAATACCAAAGCATCATATTTCATAAGCTCCTTCTTTAAAATATGGAGTACAAGTACCTCAAATTTGTTCACTACTTAGAATTATAGTATGAATGTACTTTGTTACATTCCATCACTGAACAGATTGTATTTAAATCACAATAAATATGATGTCATCAATAATAAAGTTGAATGATGAAACCAGGTTTAGAAGTTTAACGATCAAGTTTAACATCAAAGAGAAATTATATCAGTTAAAGGAGCAGCAGAGGTCACTTAAAGTCAGTTTCTTCTTTCTCTTTATTTTCTCTCTCTCTCTCTCCCCTCTCTCTCTCTCGCCTTACTCCCCTCTGTGCTGGTGTTAATCTGCTGTGTTGAGCTCTCAGTTGAACTGGAATGTGTTTGGGTGTTTGGGCCAAACTGTCCCGACTCGTTACAGCACCAGCAGGTCACTGAGCGAAGTCACCCGACTCGAAGGAGGAAGATCCGGAGTCCTCTGGATCTTTGATCAACCTGCTTCAATCCGTTTGACTCGACTGAACCGCTGCAATGAATCACAGCAAGACCGAATTAGAGCCTATTGAATATTCCTACTATGATTATTCAGACTGGTACTCGGACAACGCAGAGCCAACCAAGCCACCCAAAGAGTGAGTAGAAAAGCTCACCATGAGAACTAAAGGTGTCAAAGGGGTGTTTTAAATGAAATGAAGAAGTGCAGTATAGGAATTAATTAGCCGATCTCTGGTGATTCATGATAGCTGAAAGGTGGCGATTGTATTTGATGGATCTCTAATAAAATAGCAATCTGAGTTATCAGCTCTGCAAATCATAAAATGTTTGCGAAATATTTGCAGAAGCCGTTCTTTAAAACAATTTAACATTTCTCTGACTTTGTTTTATTTTTTTATGTTCTAACTTTTGCCAATAACTGAGCTTTGTTTATTTAAATGTGTGTTGCCTTTTTGTCACAGAGTTATTTTGCCATGTGACCCCACAGCGGACGACAGGATCTTCCACATATGCATGCTGTCGATATCTGTAAGTACACAAGTTCAAAAAAGGGACTGTACCTTGTGTTGGATGTCATTTAGATTAGAGGCCAATTTTGGAGTGGCCAAATTGTGGAATTACAACTTGCGGGTTGAAGTTAAGTTAACGTTAGGTCGTTGGGCAGTTGAGTCTTGGAAAGTTTTTCGCAAATCTAGGATTGCCATTTAGACCACAACTGAGCAACTTTCAGGAATAAACAGGGGCCCGCCTCCAACAATGTATCCAGTTCTCTTTATACATCAATGGTCAGACAACACAATAGCTGGTGATTCAATAAAACATGTAAAGATGTCCGGATAAGCAATATCTGGCCACTGTGTTGGTCATTGATCCACTTGATCGAGGGAGAACTAAAGGGGTATGGTGACAGACCGATTATTGCAAATGCTCAGGTTCAGGCAAAGTCGCAAAATATTTATTAGACAGGTCTATAAAACTATCATCTGTTTAACAAAAAAAATCACTGAATACAAACTGGTGAAATTATGATCTAACAGGATGGTCTCATCCAGCATTCGTAGCTAAGCCTACAAAAAATAAAGGTAATCATGAACGGGGAAGTTTAAAGACAGCAGAAACGATAGATAGATAGATAGATAGATAGATAGATAGATAGATAGATAGATAGATAGATAGATAGATAGATAGACAGACATATAGATAGAGCAATAGATAGATGGGTCCAACAACCAGCGATCTTTAAGCCAGGAGACAACTGTTTGTTCCCCATGTGGGACTAGAAGCCCAAAAGGGGAGTCCGTATGTGCAATTTGACCATAAGTGGAACATGAGTGTAGACTTGGTCTGATGTTTTTGCATCTTCCATCAAATCCTTTAGTGCTTTTTCTATGAATCCATCGGCTGCTTCAGGCAGACATTATTTTTCATGATGTTAGCCATTATTTCGTCCTCACACAATTACAAAGGAAGGCCACTTTACCTCAGTCAGGGAACTCTTCATCCTGTACACACAGAATGGACATTGACCGATTTTCCTGCTCAGTAAATAATGTGGACTAAACTGTGACAGCTGGGTCACTGCAGAAATAACAAGATGTTGTCGTCTGAAGGATGTTCTCTGCAAAATGAGGTTCTTTATTCAACGACCTCATGACTGATTGGTCGGTCTATCCCAACTTCCAAATGCATCTACAAAGCGGCTTTGCGTTGTTATTTTATAAAGTTGTATAGTTTTAATGGGATACTGTTGCTGCTAAACACTATGAATAGCATAAATTGGACATCTTGTGCCTTAATGAGGTACAGGATAGTATTTTTGTAACTGGTTGTGATATTGACACATGGACGTTTTTTCTGAAGCCAAGAGATATAAAGCAGATATCCACCAATCAGCTGGTGACTTGCCAGACAAAAATTACCAGTAGCAAATTAAGATGTTTGTTCCAAGTAAGAGGCTACAAGGCATTTTAGTGAAGCACATGTTTTGCTGTAAGATAAAAGTTTAAATAGAGAACCTTATTTAAAGTCATTTTTCACAAGTGGTATGTGAAAAGACGGGAACAGCCATGCACATTTTTAGCACGACAACTGTGCACAGCGTGATCGGTGCAAATCTTCAGCGATGTTGTGTTCCATTTTCATCACAAAAAATACCCCAAAACTCTTATTTTACATAGTGCCCGTGTCTACTCCACACACCAAAAACCTATCTAGACAGAGAATGTCTAGAGGGATCACGTCAACTTCACAATACAAACACAGTCACAGTCACAGTCGGTCCTTGTTACGATATGAGCAAATCTCTGAACATTTTCAGGCAGCAACTGAACCTAAAAAAAAGGAGAAAACAGTGATAATATTAGTTCATGTTCCAGTCCAATATGTGCACAGATGTACAGTTACAACCCTAATGAGGACGTGGTGTTTAAGAGGCGTAACAGATGTTCTGATGGATTTCATCTTTCCCTGTAGCTTGTGGTCGTGTTAATCCTGGCAGTTCTCACCAGGAAAAACAAATTCTGCCAAGGATTTACAAGAGGATCCTCCAGTATCTTCAGGTGGGAAGTCTAGACATAAATAGGACTTTAGAGTGCCGGTTTGTCACATAATATATAAATGTTTCTGTTCATGATCTCACAGTCCAGCCAACTTCCTGGACCAGACTCAGAAAAAAGGCCTCGTCGTGGCTGTTTTTGGACTGGTGTTTAGCAAGCTAGCAATGCTGGTGATCGCCCCAGACCCTCTGCCTTTCTCCAAAGACACTCCAGCGAACCTTAAAGGTGAACATTTATACGGTTAATTTGTAATGATGACTGGAGCTGCATCCATACGATTGTCTAGATTTGTTGTTGAGATGTTATGCGCTTTGGTGATACTCTCATTGTTCTGATGGTTCTGATAGGAACATAAAAGGACAAACATATTTAACATTTCATCTTTCAGATAGATGCACAATCATAGAATGTGCAGTAACACAGATTAATCAGTTTGGAACTTCTTCTTAAAAGGCCTTTTAGCTTTATAAACTTATTATATTAAAATGGATGTACATGTTAAGTAGTTCCTGGAAGTGAATTTGATCACTCGCAGACCAAAGTGAAGCCCTAAATGTTGCTTATGCTTGTAAGCGTACCTTACAATATTGTGGTAATGATTAAGATGTTGGACTTAAAGCCACTTTGTGTTTAATTTGCGATTTTGGATCCCCAAGTAGCAGTATCATAAAATGATGAAATTAAGTGATTTAAGGGGACCCTGAATAAATGTATTTTTTTGATAATCAAGATACATGGGTAAGAACATAAGCTAGCTTGGAAAATGGGGAAGAACTGCATCGTCAGTTATGTTTTGAGGGAAACATTTTTTTCTCCCAGATGTACGTTTGCATGTGTCGTATCACAAATACATTTAATCACCTTGCATGAGTCTGCACACAGGACTTTCACCCACAAGGCTTTGTGTTTGGGTCCCGTGTGAAACCAAAAGTAACGTACCTTTTTAAACCCAAAATATGATCTTTTACTCAACCTTTCCAATTAGTTTTGGAGCCTGAACCTCAACGTAAATGATGATGCAGTTTGAAATAGGGAAAAAGCATCAGGAGCAGTTAAAACAGCATAAGTTGATTCATGTATGTAGAAATGTTAAATATGAAACATATTTGGGGTCCAGATGTATCCGTATCCAATGTGAGGTCACACATCAGAGACTGATGAACCATTTTCTTAAATCCCTTGCTTTTCAGAGTACATGAAGATAATCGCCATCTTCTACTATCCTGTCCTGTATTATCCTCTGTTGGTCTGTTGCACTCTGCAGCACAAAGCAGGTTATGTGTTCGGGACGCTCCTCTCCTTCAGTCACTTCGCGGTCCTGGTGTGGCAGAAGTTTGACTGTCCAAAGACTCCAGAGGTGAGACACCAACAGCATGTTAATGTTTTAATCATGGTATACATAGCTTTATATTACAAAATTGACAAACATAATTAAGCCCTGCCCCCTGCTGCTACACCGTCAAGCTGTCAAGGAGCCCACACTGTCACTAACTACACACCCTTAATAAATATGTAATTTTTGGAGAAAAAAGAAATTCATAGAGAAGCAGACAGAAGGGTCTATGATATGTGTTTTAAGGCTATGTCTAGGATGTTAAATTAGTTCAGCACAAAAACAGGTTAAAAACATAAAGGTAGAAGCTAAAGCCTACAGATCACAGTGTAAACATGAACCAGCACATCACCTGGTGATCGAGACTGAATACAATGAACTTAATTTTTGGGTTGAAATACAATCCACTCTAAATACAAAATGTGATTCTCCTCAACTGAGACACATAAAACCACATCTCAAAACTTGATTTTAGTCTTTTTACTGATTTTAGTTGAAATGATACTTTAAAACATTTGTATTTACATTTTCCTCCGCACAGATCTATAAGTACTACGCTCTGCTTGCAAGTCTGCCTCAGTTGGCCTGCCTTGCATATCTCTGTGTCCAGTTTATTTTGCTGTTTGTGAAAGGACCAAAGACTGACGAGGTGAGAAAAGTCAGAATACAGACATTAACATTCAGCCAGGAGAAAAGTACCAAATGTCCACTCATTTTTCTGCCCTATGACATGTGTAAATACCAACATTTTAACTAATCACAGGCTGTCGCTGCTGCAACTGAAGTAAGAAGCATGAATTTCAACTATGTAAAACATAACCATGATTACTGTAAGCAGCTTGTGCATAACAAAGTGGGTTTAGCTCAGCGTCCTCAAGCAGATTATGACAAGGGAGGTGATATTTTTTCCGCTTTCAAACATATTAATACAACAGAGTTTTTGTTTCAACAGCAGGTTTAATCTGTCTCCAGTTTTTGCCAATGATTTAGAGGAGAAATCCTTGTGGTGAGCAGGAAAGAAAAACACTTTCAGTCATTAATCTTTTACTTTACCTTCAGGTTTTTTGTTGTATTTTTATTTACTCTTGTTAATTGTTCATTAACATCCATTGAGAATGATGTTTTTTTTTTTTTGTCATATGTTCAACCAAACATACATTGAAGCTCACAGGAATTAGAAGAAACAAGACCCCAAGTAACACAGAATAGAATAATTACTGTCACCTAGAAATGATGCTGAAGAGTTACACTGGAAAACCTTTCCACTGTTAATTGTGAAGGAAATCAAAACACATGACCCTCTACTAATAACTTCCTCTGATATAGTGACTCATCATAACTCTGATTTGTATTGCTCCTAGGATCTGGACAGCAGCTACTACACCAACTATGTGAAGTCCCTTCTCAAGAAAAAGTCCTCGACTGCCGGGTAAATGGAGATAAGGCAGCAAATTTATGTTTCTTTCCCTTCAAAACGTTTTGAGAACATGTCACACGGAAGATAACGAAAACCAGACATCCATGTGGTCATTAAAATGGAGAATTTATTACACATTGAGCTGAATCAAGACATGAAATGAAACAATGGAGAAATAGGAAAAAGAGAATAAAAAATAATAGTAATATAATTGTAAGCAAATACTGTACATTACTTAAAACTATTTTGAAAAGATAAATAGTAAAATAAATAAGGTACAGAAGGCATCTTGCTTAAAATTCAAAGAACGAGCATTCGTGCTGTGTGTGGCTAACATCCTTTGTTCTCTACGTTCTATTGTAGCTCTTCAACTACAGACAAACCAACGCTGGCAGAGAGGATACTGGAGGTGCCTAAGAGTTATATTTATATACCAGAAAAAGGTGTGTGCACTTAAACGAGTAGAGTTTTTTGTTTTTAATAGCAGCCGTTTTGTATTCATGTCACATTCAGTGGAAATCTGACAGTTTGTATAAAAAAAATTCAAAGCAGAATCTTTGAAGGGATGCAGTTATGTTGAGTCCTAAATTGCTGTGACTGAAATAAACTCCATTGTGACGGATGTGAACGTGACTTATTTTGTCTTGCAGTGTTTCATTTTCCACTAAAACTGGCTGTATCAGCATTTGTTGCCCTTGTGGCGATATATCATGTAAGTCTTCCGTAGACCTCTTAAATCAGACATAGTATAGTTACTCCTGTTTGCCTTTGTGAAATGATGTGAAATTTGTATATATTTCAGACGGCGTTGTTGTTAGTCGTCCTGGTGGTCCCCACTCTCCACATTGTCCGTGCTGGTATCGATGAAAACATCGCCTTCCTGTTGCTGGGGTTTGGGATCGTTCTGTCAGATGACAGGATGGAGGTCGTCAAAATTGTGACCTTCTATACTTGGCTGCTGGAGGGTATGTGGGGTTGATTTAAAAAAAAACAACTTTCAACATCAATCTGCAACCCATTCTCAATCCCAACTTCTCAAATACACACGCTTTGTGAGTGCATCTTGGCGTCTGTGACAGATCCACAGAAGCGCCAATTTGCAACTGTACGAGACGCACTGGGCTTTAACTCCAATGTAAACCCATCCACATTGTTATTAGATGGTCAGAGCAACTGATGTAGTATAAAAAATGCAGAAAAGTCCATGTAGGGTGGTGGGTCAAAGATACACAGGACTGTTTGTGTCCCGTGCCGTCGGCAACTTCTGGTTCTGAAGAGTGAGTCAGGCAATGCCAAAGTGTCTTAAACGTGCATTCTCTCTAATGGCCACCAGGGGGTGACTCCTCTGGCTGCAATAGGCAAACCGATTGTATGAAAGTCTGTCAGAAAATGACCCAACTTTTCACTTCAAGATGGCGGCGGCCATAATCCAAGATGGCGACAGACAAAATGGCAAAATGGAGGGAGGCTTCAAAACAGCAGTCCACAAACCAATGGGCGACGTCACGACGACTACGTCCACTTCTTATGTACAGTCTATGGTCACGTGTGAAACAAAAAGTCAATGTTGACATTTAGTCACACCGGTCATTAGTTATGTGAGCCATTAGGCACTGGCTGGTCACTTGAGACGTTAGTCAGTCAAGTTGACGTCAACAACGCTCTTTTCCTAATCCTCACTGAGTGGTTTTGTTGACTAAACATAAACTACCTGCAAAGACGGGAGTATATTTTGAAAAGACGCTTTTGACAAGCCGTCCCTGTCACGTCTGAAACTGCTGCTAGAAGTGTATGTAGAGCATCATAGTTTGAAGCTTAGCAGCACTGGCCAAGTGTCGGTATTTGAGAAGTTGGGTTTGAGAATGTGTTGAAATCTGGGTGTGTATCGTTATAAGATAAATTACTCATTTGTTTTTTCTTTTCCACCATGTTGTTTCACAGTGTGCTACCTCTGTGCGATGACCTTGTCTTGTTTGGTCAGTCTTATCACGCTCATGAGGTCCATGGTACTTCACAGGTAAGTGCATTAAAACCTTGAGGTTCATCGCTATCTGCCAATTTCAACTGTTTGACGAATAAACCAGACTTTTGTTTATAGTGCAATTCTCTTAAACCTAAAGAGGCAGCAGTGCAGCAGAGTTCACACCATTTTTTTGTCCACACAGGCTTTGTATGTGGCCTATTGTATGTGAAGGTACAATTTCTCTTTAGGAGTTAAAGAAAGTATGGAAGCTTAATATTAGATCTGTAAAGTGTCACTCTGTTGCATTGTGATTGGTGTGTATATTTACTTCCTGTCATCCCAGTCAAAAAATGTCTGGAGATGCCACTGAGGAGTCACGAGTAAAATAAACCTTTATTGTAGCGCAATCAGCAGATTTTTTGGGTCACTTGGGGGCAGTGCAACAAGCTATAAAAGCACTATTGACATACTATCACCTTATGAAATAATTGGATGAATATGTTTGAAAATAGTTGTCTATTTACAAATCCTCTAGACCAAGGGTATCCAAACGTTTTTCCCTTTGAGGGCCAAAACTGACACTTAATGGTGGGCAACGAACAAAAAGCAAACCTCTTTTGTATTTTATTGGTAAGATGCAAAATGGTACCAATATCTAAAATTCCCTAAATTTACTGACTTCCTGTCCAGACATATTGCAAATAGCAACCAAATGCAGTAACACTTTTCCATACCGTCTATTGGAACATACAAAACCTTTTTCTGGCATACTAAATAGTATGGTATTATGGGTATGAAAGCACACAGTGTTTAATGGTTCGTACTGATTAGCTTCATGTCCATCAACAGCCAAACCTCACCTTCTTTTGCCACCTTATATAAACCTGTCGACGACTCTCTGATGCTTTGTTACACTTGAGATTAGATTCCCACGCCTTCCTGTTTGAACCTCATGCATCACTGTTTTTAATTTGTTTCAGGTCAAACCTGAGAGGACTGTATAAGGGAGATGTTTACAGCATTTATAACAGCCAGAAGACCATCCGTCCATCTAAACCTGGTATTGTCTGTTGGATGGGTTTGACCGGATACCAGGCTGCAATCGTCTGCGTCGGTAAAGCTCAAATAGTCAAGAAAACCTTCACTGATTTTTACTTTATTGAAGGGAAATGCTGGTTATATTCAGTGTTTTTCTTATTGTCAACAAATCTCAAAAATAGACTAAAACCAATAACAAATGAATCCTTCTAGCAAGTGTTGTTAGGAGGATTACTCAAAGGATACAAGGTACAGCGCATTTAGAAAGTATTCAGACTTCTTCACCTTTATTTCAGCTTAAAATAGTTTAAATTAATTTTTCCCTCATCAATCTACACTCAGTCGTTCCAAAGCAAACCAAAAAGACCTCATGGCTTGCTCCTTGGCTCCGATGTCAGCTGTGAGTCATTAAATAGACAGGTGTGTGTGCCTCTTCAAATCAATCAATATAATTTACCACAGGTGGACTCCAATCAAGGTGAGATTCTCAAAGACGATCAAGAGAAATGGGAGGCACCTGAGCTGCGCTCCTGATTGTAGATAGAGTAGGGAGACAATAACAATGAGAATACTCTCTGAATGCACCTATGTACATACCTGCTGCCACCAAAACTCACTGAATCACCAATTGTGGATTAATCCGCCGCTGAAAATAATCCAAACAAATGCACTACTTCCCCCTGTTTATGTTGTGTGACCAACTGTTTCATAAAGTTATCAAACTATATTTATGATCTGTTTTTTTAAATGTTAATCTTCAGGAATACATTTGGGGCTGAATGTAACAGACAGGGACAACAAAGTAGACAGTATCCAGAGACGGACTTTGGTCTTTTAATGGGATATGTTGATGATATATATCAAAAATATAAAAGGTTATCCCTTGATTAATTCTAGATTTAAAGAGCAAAGAAGGAGAATCCATTCCTCAGTTTGTCACGTAATCGTTTTTAATGAACTGCTTCATTAAAGAATGCTTTGAAAAAGAAGTATAATACCTTTTGTAAATGTGTTTTAAAAAATGGCCTGTTTCTGCGTTGTGTTTTGCAGGAATGGCAATTCAGACTGTTGTGTTTTTCATCTGCTTCTTGTTCCTGGTGTTTCTGATCATTATCCCTGTTTTTTACGGTCGTAATGTCATCGCCTTCACAATCGCGGGGAAGGCATGGTGAGTCAACAACCTCTCATGTACATTACCTCTTCATTTTAGTTTGTTATTAACAGATCAAAACAGAGATTATATTTAATTGTTTTTTCCATCTTTGTGATGTCTCAGGCCGGGCTGGGTCACACTGGCCCTGGTTACAGTGCTTCAACATGTGACTGCTAAGTTTGCTTTCATCAAAAAGGAAGCCGGTACGAGAGACTTGAACAACAGGTTTGTAAAGCTCATTTATTGGAATGGAGGTTGATGTATTGTGAATAATGTATTGATTAGGCAATCAAAGAAGTGGAAGAATCCCTTACTTTTTGTTTTTCACCTGCCGATCAAAAAAAGATGAAATTCTTGAGATGAAACCATTGAACCATCCATTTTGATTGTTGATCATGGGTGTTGCATGGGGCCGGGTCTGCCTTTGAGGATATGAGGTCACATCTATTGTATTATTTTCTACAAATATGAGGGACCTGGACGTCCTTTAGTAACCTAGGGTGAATTTCATCTGATTTTTGAAACACCGTTAAGGCTTTTTCTTTTGGAAAATAAAAAATACAGAACTAAACTCAACTAAACAGTTAAAGAGGTACCGTATTGCAGTCTTTAAAGTTGGAGAACTCACAAGGGATAGATTACAAAAGAAATGTAAGCCACAGTGGCCAAGGTAGCCTGACTTTTAGTCCCTATAGGGTCAAGCTCCAAAAATACTACAGAATGCAACTCAAAACCTTCTTTTGTTGGATCCCCTCTGTACGGTAAATACCCACATTTTCCACCTATCCCTGCTTGAAAGCTACGCCAAACTGGGGCTGCTTTAGGTAAAAAAAAAATAATTATTACAAAGCTCAGATAGGGGGATCTTGTTCAGAGAACAAACTAGGATATTCTCTGAGAGTAAACTCACAAAAAAACTCAAGGAACCACATCGCAACCTCATCACGTCACAGAAGAGGCAGTTAAATACTGCCAAAACGTGAGCTGCCAAGTGCAACAATCTTCTTATATACAGTGGCAATAATATACAATATATTTAATATTTTTGCACTCGACTACTCACAGTACTGCAGGGTTCAACTGTGGCATCTGTGGTGTTTTGAGGTTGATCCAACGTGAAGTGAAGCGATGGGGTTCCTTAATGTAAAAAAACAGTTTTTCTTGTAAATTTGTGACTTTAATCACAGAAAAGTTTTTTTCCAAGAATATTAACCCCCTCCCATATTTTTTTTACCTATGGTTCTAATACGCACTTGTAGAAAGCAGGGTTTTAGTTAAAAACCCAATCGGGGGGCATGTTCTCAGACATGACGCAGCTCCTCCAAAACCACAAAAGACATTACGCAATTTCTTTTTGCAGTCTGGGTGGTACGAAACATGCCAAGTAAACTGATCGGGGGCATGTTCCTTTACCTCAACAAAGAAAACAAAGACAACCGTCCTAATTTTTTCTGAAATATTTGATGGTGTTTTGCAGAGAGAGTCTGTTCCTCCTGACGTACCTGCTGTTCCTGATCAACACCGTAGTGGGACTGATAGTCGCAATATGGAGAATGGTGATAACAGCTCTGTACAACATCGTCCATCTCGGTCGTATTGACATCAGTCTGCTGCATCGCACCGCAGAGTCCTACGATCCAGGTATAATCTTTTATAGTTTTTGGACAACAAAGGCAAACTACAGCATTGAGGAGTGTTGGGTAAACAGACAATACTTGTCAGTAACTTATTCACTAGTTTTGTACTTTGGAAGTAATTTGTTGATGATAATATAAACATTAAATAACTCCAACATCAACTGAAGATATTTTAAGTAAAGGTCTCAGTCTGACAATAGCCATACTCTGTGAACTTTGACCCCATCCAGCCTACCGATACTACGCCCACTCCCTGAAGGTGGAGGTCAGCCAGTCACACCCGGTGATGAAGGCTTTCTGTGGGCTGCTGCTGGACATGATGGTCGAGGGCGGCAGAGCTGGGCAGAAGATAAGAGACGCAGAGGAAGGTAGAGGCCCTGAACTGTAAACACACACACACACACACACACACAATACATATCTTCACATACGTGTTGCCCAACCTCACATTTGACCTGTCCTTTACAGAGTTCCTTAAAATGTATTAAAGTCCAGTAGTGAATATAAAATCTTGAGCCGCTGTAATGCACCCATGAGGCTATACTGCTTATTGTAAAGAAAATCAAATTCTCAGAGAGATAGACTTAGGAAGTATTGGACAATTTAAAATATAGACCAGATGATTGCACTAGATAAAAACTCAGGGCATCATTAAAGTTCACAACAAACATGAATGTCTGCACCAACTTTTATGACAATGCAACCAATCGATATTGAAACCCAATCGCCATCCGTTCTACATGTGTGGATTAACGTTAAAGTGTTTTAAAAGCTTGTGGTGCTCTTGCAGTTTCAAAACTGCATTGTCAATTATGTTTAGGCAACACTTGAAGTGTTTGAGCATCCAACATATGAATAATTATTTCGAGGAACAATGAATCAGTTGAAAGGATTGTTTCTCCACAATGTTTATTTCACCTCATTTCAATCCTCCACAGGGTTTTTATAGGTTTCCCAGAAATCAAAACATACTGTACATACGCAGTGACATGCAGTATTTTCAGTCTGGTGTCTCATTCTGCCCTGACAGCCTGCTCCTCCGTGCTTTCAGGGATTCAGGAGAATAGGCCAAACAAGGCGACCAGCCGTCAGAGGATTCGCTCTCGCTGGCAGCTGCTGTACACGCTGGTCAACAACCCGTCCCTGCTGGGCTCCAGGAAGCACTTCCAGACACAGCAGACCTCGGAAACCGTCCTGAACGGGACCCCCAAATGCAGCTCCAAGAAGGAGCCTGCTGCCGTGCCAGTCCAGCCCACCGAGACCCCAACAAACCAAGATAAAACTGATTGAGATCCCTAATATACTGTTTGTAGTGTGGTTGGCAGTATACTCCAAACTAAATCTGACTTAACAAGTATGGCATAAAAGTTATACTTGAACTTGTATAAACAAAAACATGGTCCTTATTTTTTACAACTAATGCCAATTTGTTTTGCAGTATTTGCACACGGCAACTATTCCTCATGGTTCAGGTTATGGAAATATCGTGGTAATGACACATAAACTACAGTTAAAGGTCCAGTGTGTAGGATTAAGGGGGATGAAAAACAAAGTGAAAAACTGTTTTCTTAATATCACTTGAAACTAAGAATCCTTTCGTTTTTGTTATCTTAGAAAGAGCCGTATATTTAAGTGTGGAGCTGGTCCTCTTCGTGGAGACGACCATGTCGTATCTCCATGTTTCTACAGCACGGGCCAGAAAGGACAAACAAACACTGGGTCTAGAGAGAGGTCTTTTTGCATCGGCCGTCATAGTTCTCACACACGCGTGGCACTCGGGAGAAGTTTCAGTTGGTTGTAATCTGCAACCTCACCACTAGATGCCTCTAAATCCTAAACACTGGACTATGAATTTAAAGTATGCTTAGAGTTAATCAACTAACATTTTTGGTCAAGATTAGAAAAAGATGGGGATACTGGGCTCGGTGATCAATTTCAAATGTCCACAAAGAAGGTGAGCCTCGTGGCTTCTGATCCACAAAGGCACCAAAAAAGACAAAGATATAGAAGCTAACAGCGGCACAACTTCCAAAAACCAACTGAAATGTTACTAATATTAGATCCCTGAAGCACCCTGACAATAATATCAATGACAATACGACTATGATGAAAATCAAACTTTCATTGTGTTCTGCTTGTGCAGGACAGTTGAGGCCTTTTAGTAATTGCATATTGACATGCACAGTGCCAGTTCTGATCAATGGCAGGCAGTCAATAGGAGGCCATGGTCCACTTCTGCCTCTGGTTAATGCAGTTACATCGACACATGCTGGTTCTCAATGTGTTCTCAGTTCACCATGCTGTCCATGATGTTCCAGGGAGTTTGTAATTTGATCAACCAAGATAGAACTATGTCATTTCTCATTTAATAAAAATCTCCAAAACTGGAGTCACAAAAATGTCATACAAGAACAACATATTCCATTGTAACCTTTGAATTAAAGCAACTAATTACTGTTCAGGTAATATATTCATTATATTTGTTAGAAGTTTCTACTTATATTTCTTAGCTTCATAGTTATTATGGGATCAATAATATGATGTGAAATTGAGATTGATCATATTTTCAATTATATATACGGAATATAGTTTTCTGCTACATGATGTATTTCCTACATGCCATTTTAATGGATATTATTTACAAATAAACTGGTTTCACAACATTTGACAAGAAAGTAGTTATGTTGTTAAATTCGTATCCCATTTTTAAATTATAATAAAATGTATAAATGCATCAAAGTGTATTGCTCTATTATTGAATAGTGTTCATGAGTTGCATTCATTTTCAGTTACTAGATAGGAATATATCATGTAAGTATATTTACAATTGTTCTGCACTGGACATTGGTAAATAGTTTATGTTTTTTATGTCTCTGCAGTGCCAGCTGTGGCACGAGGCATTATGTTTTTGGATCGTCTGTCCCTCTGTTCGTCTGACCGGTTATTCCTGTAAATTTTGGCGCAAACGTCCACTTGGACTCAAGGATGAACTGATTAGAATTTGGTGATCAAAGGTCACTGCGACCTGACAAAACACATAGCTGGCCATACCTTAAGACTTCATATGCTAATTATGCTAATTTCACTCAAATGTTTAATGAGATAAAAAGACAGAAAGAAGTGATAACACTTTGGACAGAAATGGATGTAAACTGCAACATGTCTCTTTTTTGTAATAGTTTATAGTGATACTATAAGTACACTAACAGCCAACGAATTAACCAAGTAAACAACCAACTATTATGAATCTAAAGCTGTTGAGAGAAAACGAAAGATGTATCTCTTTGTCAAAACTTTATTGAGGCACATAGGATAAGGAGAGTTAATCAGGATATTTAAACACTTTGGTAAAGACCTACTGCTTCCTATTTTACAGGGGTATAAAACAGAAAAAATGTTACTTTTTAAGTCAATTGTTCAATATTTACATGAGACACAGCATACTGCGGCTCACAACAACAGGCAACATGCGGGTTTTCTAACACAGTACCCTCGGGGTAAAACAACGGGATGGACACGTGACCCAGATACAACGGGGCAGTAATTCACATACTCACTCAGAGGTGCTTGCACTGTTACACACGGTATGCAGTAGACTCTGTGGATAACACTGAACTTACATTTTTACTAGCGAGAAATAGTGTAGTGTATAGTGTAGTTTTATTTAACATGAAAACAGTTATCCTCATATGTTTTTCTCTTTGAAACAACTCTTTCTAAACATTTAAAGTCGTATGAGAGGATTAAGTTTCTGTATTTTCAAGCTACTGCACTCCTAATACATCAGCACAAGTTTACTGCAAGTTCAAAGCAGAATTATAGTATAATTGACAACAGTTAGTCCATTTATACTGCCTAAATCTAGTTTACACTTGCTCTAAGCATTTTGCAATGCATATCACATGACACAAGTTTTGTTACATTTAGTTGTATGCGTCCTTTTGTTGTTGTCAAACCTCGATAGTCCTCAACTGGACTCCAGTTGGCAAAAATCAGGGACATTTTTTGTTTACTCTTCTTCTCACTCACTAGCTTCTTATTAAGAACTGGTTTTTAACAAAGATGCTCTTAATAAATAGACAGAGGCAATATGTGTACAGTGATACTTTTTATATGATTGGTTTCTGGCAGAAAACTTATACTACTACAACAATAAACTAATTAATTGTATATTTTAGGCTTCAATGCTTTCATGCCAGCTAATCTAACTCAATGTTTGTACAAAATGTTGCAGCTGTAAGATCGATTTCTCACTGACAAACCGGACAAAAAGCTCAAATGAACAAATAAGCCTTCATGTTTACGTTGGATATTTTCAGGGTTGGGAGGGTTACTTCAAATATGTATTTCGATACAATTACTAAATACCAAATCCAAGTATCACAGTGTTAAATTATCTTGATTACGTTACTTTTGGATTACCTCAACACGAAAGTTGTAATTTCACCATTATTTTGTCTTTGAAACAGAACTGGGGAACAACAAAAATGCAAGTTATGACTTTCAGCTGTGAAAATGCTATTATCTTCAAAGGATTCAAATTATTTGTTACATTTGAACCAGATTTTAACTTCGAGCAGCAGCAGTATGCATATTAATTAAATTATATTAACTCAGTTTGTCCTGTATTATGTCAGCAGACCAGACATTTAAATTGTTTTGCTGATCTCCTACGAACCATGTTTTCACGCTGGGATGCCTCTCATTAAAAAGAATAATCTTGTGCAAACCGTCTTGCTTTGTGATAACTTCAGCTGTACTGTTATGTTGTTCCCTTTTTCTGCTTTGAATATGGAAATAAAGGCCATATTTCCACCCAGCGAAAGCATTTCTTCACCAGTGGCCTCTGAGTGAGACTCGTGTAGTATTAACCTGTGCACATGTACGATGTAACACCGTTAGATGTATTTTGTTACTCCCAAAGCTATTTAAACGTTTACTGAAATTCTGTAGATAGCTGGACCAAATAACATGACCAGGAGATTTCTTAATATTGTATCTAGTTCCTGCATCCCACGATTGTCTATCACTGTGTGTAATTTGGTGCGGATCTGGATCTAGATACACTTTTAAAATTCTTTGCATCTTCTATCATTAAAATTAAAGAGAATTGTCCAGCTGTGGTAAAGCTGTGCACTTTCTGTGTGCTTGTTAGTAAGCCAGCTAATACTGTTAGTACCGCTGTTTACCCCTGTTTCTAGTCTTTGTGCTAAGCTAAGCTCACTGACTGTAGCTGCATATTTACCTGACAAACGTAAGAGTTGTATTTATGTTCTCATCTGGTAGAGTAACAAGGTTAACATGGACAGGCCTGCAGCTTTCATTGAAACGTTTGTCTGGAAAACATCGACTGACAATCGATACAGCCTAGCTAGTGCTATGGTAGCCTGTCTAGTGACTGAATGATGCAGCTCTGAAAGTAAAGCAAGTCAGTGTATGATAAATGTGGAAAAAAGCAATATGTCTGGATTCAAAACAGTCGTCCACAAACCAAAGTGTGACTTCACTGTGTCGACGTCTACGTCTTTCATGAAGTCTATAGTTTTACCCTTTACCCACATGCAAAAAGTAAACAGCAAACGATGTCAACAATTACTGATTTGGATATTTGTTGCTGCTTGAAATATTCACTGCTTCAGCTCCCTAAGGTAACCTATCACTATTCTCTGATCCGACCTCACAGTTGTCTAAATTCCCCCTGCACTGAGACAAAGAAAAGGACTCAGTCATGATACTCTCTTCTGTATCCGCCTCTTTATCTCCGTCTCCGCTCTCCGTCTCCCCCTCCTCCTCATCCAGCTGGCTTCCGTTAATCTTCCTCCGGGACTCGGTGTGAGGTGCGCGGATGTTAAAGTTGGCGGTGAGGTTCCTCTCCATGTGGTACTGGCCTTTGGCCTTCAGGATCAACTTGTAGGTCTTGCTGCGGTATTTGTACACCAGGTGGAAGCACGTTGCACCGAGGAGAGGCACAGTGGACACGGTCAGGAGGCAGATGCTGACGGAGATGATGATAAACAGATTAGGTACCCTCCTCCTGGTGGTGAACAGCACCTGGACCTCGCAGTCCTCCCCTCTGTAGGTCAGACACAGGGAGTAGTTAGTGCTGGGGCGCAAACCGCTGAACAGATACGTGTTGACTCCCTCTTTGATCCTCGACCACTGCACCGCTGAGTGTTTGCGGTCGCCAGTGATGCACAGATACAAGCCATTTGAATCGACTATTTCAGAGACGTCTGAAAGGCTGTTACGCTCTTCACTGTCAATGTTGGAGCTCTCATCAGATGTGGCGGCGTCGGTGGCCCGATTGGCGCTGTTGTGCCTGGGTATGAGAAGAGGATTCAGCCGGACAGTTGCCTCTGTTTCGGACACCGCTAATGCAATGACACCAAAGTCAAATGTGTATTGCTTGATATCATCCAAACTCCCGTTAAAGACGTGGCTAGAAATGTATCTCGTGTTTGCCGTCAAGCCACATGTACTAACTCGTGATGGATAAGTTGTTGCCTCCTCAGAAGACTTGATCTCTGCAGCGGGCGGGAAAGTGGGTCCAATTTTCATCATGTCTTTTCTCTTTAAATCAGGAAGACGCACTGAGTCCAACAGAGATGTTTTGTGTGTTGTTTGCTGTATATATGGGTGTGTTTTGGTATAAGTAGGTGTTGTGGCCTTTTGTTTGGTGCGTGTTGGTTTAGTTGAAGCCACCACCTCCACTGACACTGAATCCTCTGCTCTTCCAAACTCATTTGTGGCCGAGCAGCTGTAGTTGCCTCCGTCTTCCTTCCTGAGGTGTGAAATGATAAGAGTCCCGTTATTAAAGACTTTGATGGGATTATAAGACAGTGAGGAGTCCTCATTTGATTCTGCCAAGTCATCCTCAGTAAAAGACAAAGCCAGCTCTTGCTCCTGGCTTTTGCTGCGAATATTCCACATTACCAGAGGCTTTGGGTTTCCTGTGAATTCACAAGTCAAGACCAATGCGCTTCCTTTATAGAAAGTCATGTTGTGAATATTTGGCTCAGTTCGTATCGTCACATTTGTACTTGTGCACTTTGACTTAGGTAATTTTCTGATTGCTTTCGCTCTCAGTTTCCGTGGAGTTGCACAGATGATCAGATTCTGCTCCGGGACCGAGATAGTAGTTGTTGAAATCCAGTCTCTGAGCCAGTCGAGGGAGCAGGTGCATGCAAAAGGATTTTTATGAATCTGCAAGTGAGACAAAGACACCAAACTGTCAAACGTCCCTTCAGTTATTGTTATGAATTTGTTATTATTGAGTCGGAGGGACCTCAGGTCTTTGAGGTTGGAGAAGGCGTCCTTCGGCAGGTGGACCATCTCGTTATGGTTCATCTTCAACAGCTGCAGGCCCGTGAGGTTCTGCAGATCCTCCCAAGGAAAGTCTACAATCATATTGTGGCTGATGTCAAAGTTACGCAGATGAACCAAAGGCATGAGGGTCCCTTCTTCGATGGAGACAATCTCATTGTTGGCCATCCACAGCGATGTTATCCGAGTGACATTGTCGAAGCTCCCCACTGGTATCAAAGTGATCATGTTAGCGGAGAGACTCACAGTCGTCACATTAGGAGGAAAACCGTCTGGGACTCCCACCAAGCCTTTGTAGGAGCATTCAGCAGAATGTCGTCCGTATTTATCTGAGCAGGTACAGAGCTCCGGGCAGCTAAGTCCAGTGGTGAAGACTGAGGTGAGCCACAAAGTGAAGTAGAGGATGTCTGCGGCTGCCATTTTCTGCTCCTGTAAAACAGTGTCACAGTCCATCAATCAATTAGTGGAATAAACTTGGTTTAGTTAGCAGAATTAAAGCAAAATGAAGAGAAAAAGATTAGCAATATAAAATAAAAAATACCACACAGGTTTTGGCAATAGGGAAAGTAAGCACAGATACAAAATAAAGACCTTGCAGAAGTGTCAGAGCCAGTCTGCTAATTTAGGACATATTAGATGCCGACTGCCTCCAAACAGTTAGAATTGTATTTTTCAGTACAGTCCCAGTGTCTAAGTCTAGTATTAAGAGAACAATCGTGCTAATTTTCAGATTCATACTTTGTTCATATTTTGGGTACTCAATGATTAGCTGGTCCCAGGCTGATGTGACTATGTTAAATCCATTGTATGCATTATATCAGCATTTTCAGTCAGAGCAGGAAAGAAATGGCACTAAATTCATAAACATCTGAGTATGCACAAGTTTCAGCTCTTTTCTGCCTCCAGTGTTTACATAATTACTGGACATACTGTGAATGAAGACTCCTAGCGGTGCAATCTGTGGATTATCCAGAGTAAACAGAAAGTTGATTCTGGAAAGAGATTTTTTTGTATTAATGTTTTTAGATTTTTAGGCCACAAAACCAAAATACATTTACTTCCACCATACTGAGAAATATCAGTCACAGACATCACAATACCTAGATACATAAAACCAAAACTATCTGGGCAGCTGGTAGTGAGGATTTTTTAAAACACTGTCCATTTGATGTTTTCTCTGCATGATAAGACTGACCTACTTACTGGAGAAGAAAGAGAGCAGCTACTTCTGTCGATGTAAAAAATGCAGAACCTGTTTGACGTCTCCCTAGATCCGTATTTGTCATATATGTGTGCATCAATCCATGTAATATTATCATCCCTATTTCCATACTGTAATTTTTCCTAATTTGGACGGTCTGTCCTGGAAAAAAGATCATTCATCTGGTGCTCTTCTTGAGGTTTTTTTTTAAGTGTCTAAGGATAACAAATGTTATAAGCTGCACAGATTGTGAAGCCCTTTGAGGTAAATTTGGGTCACAAAATTAAAAGACTGACTCATCTTTAATAGCTCATCCTCACACCCAGTAATTATTCTGTTGAAATATGACATTTTGACGATGTGATTCTTATTCTCTTGTACTGACAAGTGACAACGTGTAATTATGTCGGACAGAGTAATACACCCACTAACGGTGTCTGGTAAAACAGAGGAAAAAAACTGGTGCATAGATTCAGATTTTAGTTTAGCTGAAGCTCTGACGATGCACTCGGTTGATAAACTAACATTAGCACGTGTCACAGAGGGAACAGTAAATCTGTATGTTGTCATTGGGAGAAGCTTCTGGTATCAAACTACGCAGCTGCTTCCGGTGCTCTGTCCTTGGTGCTGAAAGGCAGCCGCATGTCTGCTCTGTTTGTTTACAGTCTGCAAACCGCTGGAATCCACTCTTTCAATCCATCCACGAAACAAAACATCATGACTGACAATGTAATCTGACGCCACGAGACCAAAGTTCATCGTTCCCGCAAAAACACCTCGACGCAGGGTCGCTCGTGAATAATTAATGCAGAAAGGAAAAAAGATCGCTCACCTCCGTGTTAGGAGACTAAAGCTGGGTGACAAGCTTACCTGCATTAAAAAAAAAAATCTCTGCAGAGAATACGTCAGTCGGTGTTTCCAGTCAGAGCAGCTCAGGATACATGCTGGTTTCAAGTTTGAAGATGAAGCTGAGTTGTTCTGCGTGTCTGTCTGCCTCTACATGGTGAAAAGATGCGTGTCCGCTGCGGAGTTTCTGCTGCATGTGAATGTTTGTCTTACTGAGTTATCTCCCCCTCTCCTCCCCTCATCCTCCCCTCCTCACAGCTCTGGACAGAACAACGTTGACGTTTCCAAAAAAAATAAAAAATAAAAAAAATTAAAGGGGAAACGACCGTCACTAATAATAACGATAACAAACCGAAATATAACCAATATAAATAACTAATACTGTTATTACAAAGTCTTTAACAACTAAAACGTTTTATAAATAACAACAGTAACAATGATTGCAAACAGTAAAAATACAAATATGATACTTAATCAATATTTTAACATTAAAGGGGTACTACCGTGATTCAGTACACAACTAAATAACCACAGCTTTGACTGTGGTTGGTTTAACCTGCTACTTGGCAAAAAACTTCCATTAACCCCTGTTACTCCCCATATGTATGTTTTAATATGCTGGAACACATGGACAATTTAGAAATATGTCATATACTGTATAAGAGCAGAACTGTCTTAAGGGGAACATGTCATGAAAAACCTGCTTGTGCACATCAATTTTGGTATCTGGAGTGCCTACCAACCCACAAACTATGAAAAAAAGACAACACAGTCATTTATTTTGTGGGCACCCACGACTTGGGAACTACCCTTGCAAAGATGCACCATAATACAAACATGTAAATGTAAATTTGTAAATGAGATTATGAAACTCAAAACACTCTTTATTACGTCAGGAAGCAGGGTCCATTTTAAAGTCGCTATCACTCATGTATATTCCCCAATAAAGTTAACATTTTGTCACACAGTAAAGCTGGAGGTTTGGGGCCTCTGAAGTTCTAGGGCCCGGGTGCTGTTGCTCACACAGCCTCACACGAAGTTGGAGCCAACATAGATGGCAACAAAAGGTAGATGTCATTTCCTAAGAAGAGAGGCCTGGTTGTAAATCTGAGGTGGCACCTGAAATCAAAGCGGAGGCATGTTTTCAATCAGCAGTCTGGATCAGGAGGATCATCAGACCCTCGGTCCCTGTCTCCACTTCCCCCAGGCCCGTCATGCATTTCCGAAGAACTCTCCAGACATCGCATTACCCCATCCATCCACCAGATGCCCTCAGACTTGTACACCCATCCCTTCCTCATTAACTTGCTCACTTGTTTCTCATTCTCCAATGTTTTTTATTGTTCGGACTGCCATCCTGTTGGCGATAATGTGAGCGTGTTCCCGACCACTGCCATAATACATTTCCCTTCATCCTTTTCATCCGACAATTAAAATAATTACTGTTTGATAAGGTGTGCACACTTATTTTATTAGCATCTGTTTGCACTTAATTTGATAGCTGTAGTGCTGTGAAACAAAAGAATACAGTGGAAAATACTTTTGGACACATTCCAGTCTCCAGTTTGTAGAAATCCAGTAAAAATATTTAACATATTAACATGAAGTGTGACAACCAAAGTTTCCTTTGTAATAGTGCCACAGCTTTAGAGCTTTAACAGTAACATTACCAACAAGTTTTTGGATTAGATGTGTATTCTAGTAAAATATTGTTTTTTTGTAATGCAGTGTTTGATTCATACAGCGATACCAGTGAACCACAGTGGCTGATACGGTAATAAAATCACCACATAATACATTAATGCCTTTTTCATTTCTAATGTGACTCCAAATCTTCCAAGGCCATTGTTTTGAATTCGTTATGTCCATGACATACTAAACATTTGACCCATTAAATGTTGGATTACAACAAGGCACAGATATTTATGAAACGCTCTAAAAGTAGTTGGCAGTAATGCAAACATTTGTAACAAGGAAGGCAAAAGTAAAATATCCCTGGTGTGGTCCTTTACAGTAACTTCATCTGCCGCTTCTGTAATGAACCTTATATTCCAGCAGATAGCACTACAATCCTTGAAGAAACACGAATACCGATTCAGTTCAGAGGCGTCACCTTTAAAGATCATTCAATCAATAGCTGGTGCAAGAAGACCACTTGTCAGAGACATTTAAGGGGAAACTTTAACATTACTAACATTAACGTCCTGATGAAGCACCTCCACTTGTTCTCACGGTGTGCTGTTATGCGTTTTAATACTCCTCATTGTCACAGAACATAGAATAAAATAGATCAAGTACTGGGAAAGATACCTTATATTGGAAAAATATATTGGAAAAAGATACCAAACATAATGTGTTTGGTATCTCTAGAGAAAAGTTGGGACATTTTTATGCAGTCACATGTTTCTGTAGTCGTTATTGGTACTGCAGCTTAAAGGAAATTTCATTAACACGAATTTTGACAACAGTGGTGACCACTTGGGATTAAAGGTTGAAGTGATCGGCCTGCTGAGATCAGACCAATTTTTGTCAAATCTGAGATCACTCTGTTGTTGAACATCCCAAAACGGTGTGGTTGATTTAAACAGCCTCCTTGACCCACCAGGGGTCATTCTCTGCAAACCCAGATAAGGTAGACAAACTTTGTACCGATCCACAGAACTTTATTTCAAATTCTTTAAGTTTTCAATACCAAATATATGTCAGGGTCACCTTATAAACTTTATATGGTGAACTTGTTATTTATACATCCAGCAGATACATAAACATTCATTTTGAGTTGTGTTTGTGTCCACCTGATAAATGTAAGTCCAATATCCAACAACCATCTGGCTCTTAAGCTGGTGGAGGCTCCACTATGTTCATCAGTGGGCAGTTTAATGTTCAGTACAGTAAATTTATCAGAGCCTTGTCACTGAAAGCAGCTGCCTGATGCTGCTGTAAACCAGCCTGATGAGAGCGGTGAGACTGAACCAAAACTGTTCTTTGGGGCAGTTAAAAACCAAACAATGACCTGAAAGACATTTTAAGTCCGTATGGGGATCTGCTAATTCATAATTGTCTCTGGGTTTGTCGCTACTTGTGACACCATTCACATTACATATAATCTATTCAATCCCCTGACCTCCGAACCCTTACAGTAGTTTCTGCCTCGCTACCTCCAGTATTCCCAATAAAAATTTGCATTGGATGTAAATCAAGAGCCGAGGAATCGTCCAACATGATTCTATGGGCTTGGCTGCATTTAATATGATTTAAAATCTGTGGTGGTTTGTACTGCAGAGTACTGGCGAAATATTTGCTTTGATAAAAGCTCTTGGATTTTGTAACCAATGAACAGAAAGATGAACAATTCCACTTCAGTTTTCGCTGATTTGAGTAGTAATGCAATGTTACCGACCGATACTGGAAGGGACATCTGTCTTCAAGAATGGAGCTGGCTCGTTCACGTCACACCATCAGGTTTTCACCTGTCAGGGCACATCCAACATTTTTTAACGACAGATGCAAATGAGAAAATGAAAAACTTTGAGAAGCGTTGAGAATGTTGGTTTGCTGTGATGAGAAACCTTGCCCATGTGTATAAAAGATTGGAACGTTTCCTTGTCACTATTCCATATGTGAAGCTAAATGCTAACGTCAGTATGCTAACATGAACTTGAATCACAATGACAACGCTAACATGCTAATAATTATAGTTTAAGGTGTTAACATGCTAACATTTGCTATTTATAGATTTTCCACATGTTGAGGATCAACTACCAGGATACAATTGACACAGTGCAGCATCTGGCAGTCTATCAAAGGTAAATTGTTGTACTGTAAGCTATTTTATTAAGTTTCCTTTTAGCAAAATCCTCCAAGTGAGTTTGAGTTCTCTCTGGTAAACAATTAGGCTACAGTGTATATGTCTAGGGCTTTTATTGTGAAAGGTAAGAACGATATGAGTGGCTCTGATCGGTGCTGTCTTTGACATTGTTATAATATACTGTATATAATATAGTTTGCTGTCTTCGAGGAGACCATGAAACAATGAAGTTAAAAAAAATGAATTGACATGCAAATTAATAGCCACAAAAAATAACGCCCCTCAGTGTGTAAGGTTCTTTAGAGGGAAAGCCAGATAATCATTAAAGTTATTACAATTCATCCTGAAGGGAAAGGGAATTGGTGAATCATGACAATCCATCAAATAGTTGTTAAAAACATTTCACTCAAAACGACAAAAGTGCAACCTCTTGGTCCCACTAGAGGAAAAGTCTTGAGATCACCAAAGTCAGTTAGAGTCCTCTGGGGAACATGAACGTTAGTTTAAAATGTCTCTGCAGTAGCTGTTGAGATATTTCAGTCTGGACCAAAGTGACGGACAGGAGCCATTACGCTAGGATGGCTACAAGTCTCCTGCTCGTCACCAAACGTCACAGATTGATGACATAAAACAGTGTCAGAGGGTCTGAAGGAGCTTTTCTCCCTTTTGACACACTTGAACTTACAAATGCACCAGACGTGGGTTCACAGCCGGTCAGTGTGCGCTGCTTTGCATCAGCATCCAGCCGAGGCAGAATTTAATCAAGTCACCTTCCATGTTTCTCACAGCTGGAAAATTAAAAAGAGATCACACGTGTCAAAGAAAATTGTAGAGAGGCACTGAGCCTCACCTCCACCACCGACTCTCTCCCCCCGTGTGCTCCATCCACTTCCCCGGTAACTTACACCCCTCAGTGGCAATGTGATTGCGTCAGTAATGTGTTTCTATTGCTCTTCCAGAGATACCCCGCGGTATCGCTGAACCGCTGCATGGAGAGCTTGGAGGGCTTTGGAGAGCCTCATTTACCTCCATAATCTTTCACAGTCATCAACGTGCTCCAGCGTAATGCACTCACGCACACACTATAGAGAGGTAGAATGAGTCTAAACACAAAAAAAGAGTCAGAGTCTATGGCTGAGTTGAGGGTGAATTAGCATAGTGAAGACGCTGCATTATGCAAATGTGTTATGGTTCCTCTCTGACAGTGCTGGTAAATTGGATGATGTTTTATGATGATGTAAGAGTGAGTTAAGGCACGACGGATCGGTGCGTTTTAATACCTCTTTGATTTGCGTATTCCTCCCCGAGCAAGGCCCCCTCCCTCACTCGTCCCACTCAGAGATGCGTAATTCGCTGGCTTGCCTTCGTGGCGCTTCCCACAACTTGCTATGATTCTTGGCATTCGGGCTCAGAGAGTCAATAAGACAATACAACAGTGTTGGA